TACATATTGACCCTAAGGCAAATGTCTTCTCCCATTTTGTTAGTTTCTTTTTAACTGTTGATTGTGTCCTTTGATGCATGGAAACTTATTTTTTTATGTAGTCCAATTTATTTTTCTTTTATTGCCTGCACCTTTGATTTGATTTCTAAGAAATTGTGCCAAATCAAAGAAACTGTCCGCTTATGTTTTCTTCTAAGAGTTTTATAGTTTTGGGTTTTACATCTAGATCTTTGATCCAATTGGAATTCTTTTTATATACAAAACTGAACAGTGTAATAATGGAATATATTTATATATACAAATGATATTTTATACTGTTTTGATGATTGTTACTTTGTAGTAAGCTTTGAAATCAGAAATGTGAGTTTTCCAAATGGGTTCTTTGTTAAGATTGTTTTGGCTATTTAGGGCCCCTTGAGATTTATTTCTATTTTTGCAAAGGTTGTTATTGGTATTTTTGTTAAAGTTGTGCATCACTTTGTATAGTGTTGACATCTTAATGATAGTAGGTCATCCATTGATTCTTGTTCATGAACAAGACTTGTCTTTCTATTTGTGACTTGAATAATTTTTTCTGGTAATGTTTTACAGTTTTTAGTGTATAATGCTATGATGTCCTTGGTTAAGTTTATTCCTAAGTATTTTTGGGGGGGTGCTATTAAAAATGGGATTGTGTTTGTAATCCCTTTTCATATTATCCATTCTCGGTTCATAGAAACACAACAGATTTTTTTGTGTGTGTTGATTTTGTATCTTGCAACTTTGCTGAATTTATTAGTGCTAACTGGCTCCCTGCCCACCCCTGTAGCATCTTTTAAGTTTTCTATATACAAAATCATGTTATCAGCAAGTACAGACGATTTTCCTTTTTATTCCTAAATTGGATGCATTTTGTTTCTTTTTCTTTCCAGATTACCTTGACTAGGACTTCCAGTAATTCATTTTACTGTAAGTTTATGTAATTTACTTCTTTTTAAAAAATGACACGTACAACCAGAGAAATGAAAAGTTATTGCTCCATTTGTATACAATCAACTGAAATGCATTCTGCTGTCATGTATAACTAATTAGAATAAATTTAAAATTTAAATTTAAGAAAGGGGGGTGGGGGGGAATAACAACTGCTTACCAATTTGTAAAATTCCTGAAAATTTAACAATTTGTTCTCAAGAGCCATGGTAAACAGGCTGCAGCATGCTGTTGGTTGGACTTTTCACGTCTATTGCCCTTCCGCAACTTGAGCCTCAATAAACTGGAAGAATCACTTAATTTCTCATAGTGATAAAAGAACAGGAAATGAAGGATATATAGACATCCATGTCAACTTATTTGGCAAAAAAACACAATAAATATTAAGCTGTGTTTGGTCCCCATCCAAACATTATCTCTCCACATGAAATTCCTTTTATGGAGGAAGACATTATGGTTGTTTTTTGTTTGTTTTTTAACACTGGCCTGAGTGAATTCTTTACTTGCATGCTTTTATTTAACCCTCACAATAATGAACAATATAAGTATTATTATTTTCCTCATTTTAGAGAAGATACTGATGTTTAGAAGGGTTAACTCAGACAGTTAGTCAGTGGTAGCTAGTATTTGAACCAGACATGCCTGGTCTCAGTTGTCATTTGATCACACATTGCACATGCTGGAGTATACATTGCTCTGTCTGATCTTTGACTGTTAATACAGAACTTCGTTCTTTGTCTTTGGATGAAGAATCTCTACAGTTCTGGCTCCATCTAAGCTGTATGCACACTCTTAGAAGTATAAGGACAATTGTGGCTCCCTTCCATTGCCACTTCTGGGTCACAGGCAAGCTATGTACATATCTCAGGCATTAGTCATCTAGATGTTTCACACAGTCATTTTGGAAGGGATTCTCATTTTTGATGATGTGCTGTCCTTAGTATATATTATTGCAATTGGTTTGCTAAAAATTTTGGATTTCTTTGTATTGATGTTTATGGGCACATTGGTCTGTAGTTCATTTTTCTCCCCCTTATAATTAAAAATCTATTTCTTCTGGATGGAGCATTATTAATTTGTGTCTTTGAAGAGATTTTTGTCAAATTTATTATTACAATATTTAACATTTTTTAAATTTTAATTTCAGTAGACTCTATTCTAATTAGTCAGCTATAAGTGTATCAATCTTCATGATCTACTGAGAGAACTAGCTTTTGGTTCCATTGATTTTCTCTGTTATTTCATTTAAATTTTCCACTGATTTTTATTTTGATCTTATTTCCACTACTTTGGATTTAATTTGCACTTCTTATTTTAGCTTATTAAGGAGGTAGAAAGCTAGGTCATTGATTTCTTAATTTTTATATTTTTACTTTTTTCTATAAATTTCCCTATGAGCACTATTTTAGCTATATTTCACAACTTTTGATATTTGTGCTTCAATTTACATTTAATTAAAAATGTTTACTGATTTCTTTTACTAATATGATATTTAGGAGTTTGTATTTTGTTTCCAAATATTTGARAATTTTCTAGACCTCTATTTATAATCCTAATTTAATTTCATTATGTTCAGAAAAGATACTCTGTATGATTTAATCCTTTAAAATTCATTGAGACTTGTACTATGTACCACAGTATATCTTGGTTACTGTGTCTTGTGCATTTGAAGCAAATGTATATTCTGCCGTTGTTGGATGGTGCTCTATAAATGTCAAAACACAGTGGTTGATACTGTTGAGTCCTCAATGATTTTCTCTCCATTTGTTAAGTTTATTAAAATTTGCAATTGTGTGGATTTGCCTGTTTCTCCTTTCAATTCCATTAGGGCTTTTTTTTYCATATATTTTGAATTTGTGTAATTAGGTACATAAATGTTTAGCATTATGTCTTCTTGATAAAATGATCCTTTTATCATTATGAAATGACCTTCTTTAATCTCTAGTAATGTTCCTTGCTTTGGAATCTACTTTATCTGATACTAATATATCCATTCTAGATTTCTTTTGGTTAGTGTTAACATGTTACATCCTTTTTTCATCCTTTGTTAAGATGGGCATCTTAGTTCTCTTCATACTACTATCACAAACTACTTGAAACTGGATAATTTATATAAGAACAGAAATCTATTATTCACAGTTCTGGAGGCTGGCAAGTCAAGATTAAGATGCTGGCAGGTTTAGTTGTCTGGTGAGGGCTGTGTCCTCTAGCTGAGAGGAATGCTGTGTCCTCACATGGTAGAAGGGCAGAATAAAGTAGCCACATGCTGTGTGAAACCTCTTATAAGAGCCTTAATCCCATTCTCATGGGAGGAGCAAGCCTTCATGGCCTAATAACCTGTGAAAGATTGTACAGTTATGCTATCACTTTGGTAACAGCTAAATTTTGGAGGGGCCACGTTCAAAACCTAGCAATGTTAGATATAGGACGTCCCCTAAAAGCTCCTGTGAGACAATGCAGGAATGTGCAGAGGTAAAATAATCAGATTATGGGAACTATAACTAATCAGTGGTTTGATCCATTTGATAGGTTGATAATTTGAATGGATGAATGGGTGGTAACTGTAGGTAGGTAGGTAGGGTGTGGCTGGAGGACGGAGGTCACTGGGGGTGTACCCTTGGGGAATCACAGTTTTCTGGGCTCCTTGCACACTTGCTCTTTGCTTCCTGGTTCTCATGAACTGAACAGGTTTCCTCCTATGCCTTTCTGCCATATTCTTTCTGCCTTACCTTGGGCCCAAAGTATGGAGTCCAATGACCAAGAACTAAACCTCGAAACTGGGAGCCAAAACAAACTTTTCCTCCTTTAAATTGTTCTTGTCGATCTTTTGCTTACAGTGACAAAAAGCTAACACAAATCGTTTTTTTTTTTCCTCCCTTCATATTATTCAGTTTTTTAGTTGGTTTGGATGAGAAAGTAATACTCTTTAATAATGTCTAATAGAGCAAATCTGCTTTTATCTACTCAATATACTGATGTTCTGTATATGAATCTTTCAAAAAGGGATTCTATTATTTAAAAATATTTTGAAAATAACAACAAAAATAGGGGAATGAATAGACAAATAGTACACTGATCCAACAAATGTATATTTCATCAGATACTTCCATGGACTTGATTCCTCTAAGTCTGATCTTTCATTTGTGAATATAGGAGAAGAGCATCATTTACATGGGACCACATAGRTCATAGAAGAATAACCTATACAACGATACACAACAGCCTTGATTGTGAGAATTACAGGAAATAATGTAAAGATCTGTGGACAGAACTGGCATTAATAAGTTTTCAATAAACTTTAGCTGATAGTAGGGCTGCAGAAAAGTAGAGGGGACTTCCAGGTGGGCCCTGGATGCAATCCAATATTTCATAGGAGAAAAGGCAGAGGGAATTTTGAGATGCAGAGAAGGCAATGYGAAGACARAGATTTGAGAGATGCATTCATACACAAGGATAACCATGCAACCACCAGGAACTGAAAAGGCAAGGAACAAATTGCCCTTAGAAGCTCCAAAGGGGATGAACAACTTCGTTTCAACTCAGTGATATTGATTTCGGAATTCTGGCTTCTAGAACTATGAGAAAATATATTTCTGTAGTTTTAAGACTCTCAGAAACTAATAATATATGTGGTTAGAACTAAAGCCTTCAGTAAACACCAGTGTTCTCTAATACCAATGATCCTAAATAAGAGCCCTCTTGTGCTTTTTTTTTTGTTGTTGGTTGTCTTGGTACCAGGGATTGAACTCAGGAGCACTCAACCACTGAGCTACATCCCCAGTTCTATTTTGTATTTTATTTAGATAATGCAATTCATTTCATGTTACATATAGAGCACAATTTTTCAAGTCTCTGTACACAAAGTATTTTCATACCATTCATGTCTTCATACATGTACTTAGGGTAATAATGTCTCATTTGTCTTTCCTACCTCCAGTATCCCTCCCTTCCCTTTGCCCTATCTGAAGTTCCTCCATTCCTTCCATGCTTCTCCCCGCCCATCGTCATTGTGAGACAGCATCCTCATATCAAAAAATATGGAACGCTTTACAAATTTGCGTGTCATTTTTGCGCAAGGGCCATGCTAATCTTCTCTGTATTGTTTCAATTTCAGTATATATGCTGGCGAAGCAAGCACTATCCCTGTCCCTTGGTTTTTAAACTACAAAGGTAGGGCAGATCATTCTCTAAGATTGGATTCTTTTAAAAATGTACCATTTCATATTAGCCTCTGAGAAATTTGCTTTTGCAACTATTTGTTCAGAATATACTGGAACTGTCATCTAGTTCTTTCAATATACATTTCATAAATAATTTCCAGGGCTGAACAAGTGTTAACATTTATTTTCAAAATCCCAAGTGAGATGATTCAGTTAGATATCTTATCTAATGTTAGTTTTGCCTAGCCTATCATTCAGTACATATCCTACTAGAATGCAAGCTACATGGAGGCAGGGACTTTGATGACGACTATGTTCACAATAATTGCAACACTGCCTGGGCACAGTTAAATAAATACATTTGTTGGATCAATATGCCATGTCTATTCATTCCCTATTGCTGTTGTTTTCAAACTTAAACTCTTTTGTTGAAAGAATTCTTAAGTAGAATGATAGATATATAAAGTAGATCCGCTCTTCTAAGCATTACTAACATGTTACACATTAACACTAATGTAAAAAATAAATTTGTAGTTCAGAAAAGTTTATGTAATAGTCTTTTTGGAAAAATGAAATTTATACCTAGGTAAAAGGTATAAACAAAAGATATAAAATCCTCCTTGGGGAGGATTTTGAGTTTCTGCTCATGAAATGGACAGAAACATAACAATGCCAGGGTGAAGGAATTAGTATCCATTTTGTTATGAACACAATGGGACAGAAAGTTACTATGGAAGCTATGTTCAATTTGTTTATCCACAAAGTAATGGTAGAAAAACTGCAGTGCCTTTGGAGTCTAGCAGATATGAGTTCAAATCCTGGACTATTAATCACTATATGACCTTGTGTGAGTCTCAACTGTAATATGGTGATAAACTAGTACCTTTTTAAGTGTGTTACTATGAGGACTAAATGAGATGATTATGCATAGGGCTTGTTACATTATAAATGGTAAGTAGTAGTTTCAACAAGGCTTCAGGTTTTCCTGATGATCTATTTCCTACTTTCCCTAAGGTTTTTGTGTTGAAATTGCTCTTTTGTATCAAACCTTTTACTGCAGACTGTTATAACGCTGGTAGTCAAGTATATGGCAACAAAATATATGGGAAAAATAGAGGAAATTTCCTTATTTTGAAATATACATGATATTCATTTTTTTCTTTGCATCTGAGGTGGTGTGGTCAAATTGGAGTAGGAGATACATGGATGCTCATTGTCACTAGCCTGTCACTCAATCCCAATGTGGACTCATTTTCTTGTTCCTTATCTATTTGTAAACTTGCCTGTGGACAGCAGGAACACTATACAGAAACTGGGGATCCAAGCTTTGTTCTCTGTGGGATGTCACTTCAGAAATTTTACTCCTAATCTCAATTATTATTAAGTACATTAAAACCAGCAGTTTACATTTTATATTTTGTCATACTGACTAGCTACTAGGCCTGAATGGCAATTTTTTAATATTTTCTCTTTAAAATTGTAGAGCAGTACAAGCAAAATTAGTTATCCATGTTGGAAATCCACACCTTTCTGGCAAGGGATTCTTTTAAACATAAAAACGACTCTATAACACTCCATCATTGACAACTATAATTTAGAGTTGATTCTCCTCTCTTGGGTGATCTCACCCAAATTCATGGCCATAAACTTCAACTGTGAATATGACTCTCAGGTTTTTATCTCCAGGTAAACCTTTCTTCCAAACTCCATACTTTCATGTACTACTACTTACTAGACACATCTGGATATCTAATGGAGACTCTACTGATGTTCTTTTAGCATATAGGGCACACTCCTACCTCTGGATCTTTGTACTTTTTTCTCTCTGCCTGGAACATTTTTCCTTATCTTTGTGTCTGTGGTCAAGAGCACTTGTGAGCTCTTTCTTGACCACTGTATGAAAGACTGCAACCTTTAGCTCATGTGGCACTGCTTTTTTTCTTCCTTGCTTCACTGGGGACTTGATAATACTTATTATAATACATCTTACATTTTATTAATTTCTGTTGTCCAATTAGATTATAAGCTTCACAAAGGCAGGGATTTTTTTCTCTTTTCACTGTTCACTGAGCCTACAATAGTCCTTAGTGGATTTGAAGTTATCACTCCCCACTTCCACCCCACCCCCCAAACTACTGAATGATTGTAATCAAAGTCACACAAAAGTTCTCAGGTTGAAAATAAAAGCAAAAGACCACTACACATTAGTTTGTCAACATGTAATGCCCTGGGTTTATTTTGTGAGAATTCTATCACAATTTTTCCAGGTGGGATTAAAAACCTTAAGGATAATGTATGCCATTGGACTGGGCATTCAGACTTCGGTACTGACAAAGCACTAGTAGTAGTCTGTTAAGTACCATTCTCTTCACAGAAGAGAGGTCAAAAATTTCCAAAGGAAGGCACCCGATATTTGTGGTTCTGGCCTTGCAGCCTTCTGGAGAATCTTAAAAGGAAAAAAAGCTGGCTGGCTGTTTTTAGAAACTGGAATGATGATACACGTACAGCAATTACTGCATTCTTCTCCCTTATATCCTTTTTGTAAGAACAAGTAAAGAATGAAGTCTTTTAAACAATTCGACAATAAAAAAGTACAATTTTTTTTTGTGCTAAAAAAAGGGCAAGACAACATAAACTCCAGTTGTAAGGACTCCATTTGCATACTTGATTTAACACTTTTTGGTGTGGAAGGAAATGGGACTACTGGGCTGTTTGTAGAGCAGCAAAATAACATTAGTGCTTTAAGTACCAGAAACCACCCACAGCTCTGTGGGCCAAGTGGGGATGGGAAGATTCAAGAGACTTCATTTTTAGCTTGTTACTTGTCCTAATGATAGTAGACCAGGAAGATCCCCATTTAACAGTACATTCCCCATTTTAAAAAAACTGATGCCTTTTTTTTTTTTTTTTTTGTAAAATTCTGTATGTATGTCACCATTTTTTTTTTCACATGATACACAGAAAACTCAAGGACCCAGAGGGGAACCAAGTTATGTTATACCATTTACAAAATACCAAGGAGTCCACAGCTACCTAACACATTTACTACAGCACAGGAACCAATGAAGGTACAGTGTACAAAAAACTGTAAACACGGCACAATAAATAGATAAAACAGCAGGTTCCGCACCATGCACATGATGTGATGACACTTCATCTCTATACAATCTCACATCTCACACTCTTTGTTGCAATTTATTTTCCCCCCACCCCCCACCCCCAAGTGCAAAGCATCACAAATGAACATTTCTGTATTCAAGTAACATATATACAAGGGTATTACAAATATGCAGTACTGTACAGATAATTGCTGTATTCTTAATTTACAGATGTTGATTTTTTTTCCTATTAACAGTAAGAAAAGAAAAATTGAAGCATGAGAGATGAGCATTGCTGTTAAGTCCCCACAGCTGCCACAGAAACGCATGTGCTGCATTCCATCATCCCTTGCATTCAAAATGCTACTGATGCATAGCACCTAATCAAGTCCCCAGGCTGCAGTTCCACTCCTGAGGAAGCTACGTCACCTCCATTGCCACTGTATTGTCTGCTATGTTGTTCAGTGCTGGCTTTTCTGATTCATGATTTTCCCTGTTAAAACAAAGTTCAATCAATTACTTATTTGCTACAGATAAAGATTATCTTCCCAATAAAAAGTTTATTTTTAATAACAAGAAGAAATGATTATTGGGATAAGACAGCAGAGAAAGGAATATGCATCATTATAGTTTATTATCAAGAATATGCAGTCAGAAATCAGGCTGATGTCAATTATAAATCCCAGGGACAACTATATCACCAATAAAACTGTCATGGCACCCAAGTAATCTAGATGTTAATAACACACAAAGAATTCCCAAGTTTAGGTGACTATAGTTTCACTTTCCTCTTATATGAAAGTAGGAATAAACATGACTATCATATTAGGACTTTAAGTCAACATCCTAATACATGCTGTTGAGCAGGACAGCTACTGAGCTAGTAATAATCAGAACACTAGTTTTCTAATTTTACAAAGGCCGAGTATCTGCCAGATCTGTTTCCTACTTTTAAACAAAGGGACAGAGATATAAAAAGCTTCATACATACATACATACATACGTGTGTGTGTGTGTGTGTGTGTGTGTGAACTATACTTGACTGATTATACTTTGACTAGACCCAGTAAAAATGAATTGGTATTCAATAGGCAATGACTACTGTTTTAATTTAGAACAGACAGGGATATACGTGAGTTTGGAAACTAAAGACTATAGCCTGTTGCTACAAAACTTTGCTCTAGGAAGTCAAATATCCACCTGGCATTCAAAATGCTCCACAGTCTAGCCTTTCCCTGCCATTCCAACATCAACCACTAACATTCCCAAACCTCTGGGAGAATTTACTTATTAACCACTAAACACTTTCCCAACTTAGTATTTTCGTTTCCCATTCCACCTAACTGAAATGCTCTTTCTTCTTTCCTGATATAGTATCATACTTTGAAGGACATTCCCAGAACTCCCCTGAAGTGAAACGATTTCTCTTTGTATTGAAATTACATCCATCATCTATACACCTGATAAGCACAAAATGCTTTAAGATACCTGTAGGAACAATTTTTCCTACATTAACTTTTGAAACTTTAAAGCTTATTTTTTAACTGACCAAAACCTCTTGTCTCTTTTTGTTTTTCCTCTAATAACCTTGTAAACAATAAGATTTTAATTACCATTAATATTTTAAACAGAGTTTTGAGCAAAAATCCCAAAATATTGAAACTCAAGAAGAAAAATGAGCACAGGAAATAATAGTTTGATTAAAAATTGATCTGGAGTATATTCTCTAAATCATCATTAAGAGCAGTTTAGTATTCTAGTGGTGGTAGGTTCTGTTGATTCTAACTATTTACACAAGAAGCTATGGAAATAAATCATATACATAAGGAACATTTTAAAGAGAACATCAAAAGGAGAAAGAAAAGTGAGAGCATTACAAG